CATATTCATATTTGCAGGTGCGCAAAGTGGTGTCTGACTTTGCTGTAATTATATCCGTGATGATAATGGTAGGAGTTGATGCTGCTCTCAAAGTTGGCACACCCAAACTGAACATTCCGACTGAGTTCCAACCAACAAACGCTGAGGCTCGCGGCTGGATTATTCCACCGCTTGGTAAAAACCCATGGTGGACTATGATTGCAGCCTGCATTCCAGCATTACTCACCACCATACTGGTATTCATGGATCAACAGATTACCGCAGTTATTGTCAATAAGAGAGAACATAAACTAAAGGTGCGTAAACTATCATGAATTATGAAATGTTATAATATATAACATTTGTAAACTGATTGAGCCGTGTTGATATAACTCAATGTCAACAAGGAAAATTTCTTTCTTTATATTTCTTTTGTGCTACATTATAAAAAAAAAAAAATAAAACATATTTCCGTATTGATATACAGTTACATCAAAAAATAAATAAAACATTTTTCCGTGTTATATACAGTTATATAAAAAAAAACACACACATTTTTCCGTATTGATTTACAGTTCTATCAGAAAAAACAAACAATATTTCTTCAGAGATCTTGTCTGGACCGATAGGAGTTCACTTCTCTGAAGTTTTGAAATAAACAGACGTGTAGAAATACACAAACTAAAACACGAGGTTAAATTTAACCCAGGGTTAGCGCTAACTCACCTTTGAACAACCGGCCCCTGAGTACATAACACCAATACAGAAAATTCGTAATATAAGAGGTTGTTAATTTCTCGTTTTAGAAAGGTGCTGGTTACCATTTGGATCTTACAGTCGTAGCTATTGGAATAGGTATTTGCTCCATTCTTGGTCTGCCATGGGTGGTTGCTGCCACTGTCCTGTCTCTGGCCCATGTCCAGAGTTTGTTTGTCGAGTCAACATGTACAGCGCCTGGGGAAAGACCCAAGTTTTTGGGAGTTAGGTATGTAATTGCTTGTCACCACAAATCGCATTGATTTTTTTTTTTGTTCCAATTAGAGAGACTATAATGGTCTTCAGGTTTCGTAGAAATTTTCAAACTTTTTACAAAATCCCCGAATTTAAAATTTCTTAGTTAGAGTTTCTTAGTTCATATCATGTGCTGTCGAATTCAAAGCCACTTTGCAAAAATAAGTTAATTTTATGTTAATTTTCTAGAGAACAACGTGTTACTGGAACACTTGTGTTTATCTTAGTTGGTCTGACTGTGTTAATGGGTAAATTTTTAAAGGTAAAATAATGTGAACGATCTTTTTTTCTGTGATGCCTTCGTAAAATCCACTAATGGGAAAACTAGGGACATTGATGGTCTTCAGGGACTATAATGATCCTTTTGAATTCAACAAGCCAATTTTGAAACTAAAATATTTATAATGAGATGGGATTCTTAAATCGGTCAAATTCTGTGCGAATCAAATCGTTAGCTGTTTAAATTAGTTTCACTATAAGCAAAAGTTTCACTATAAGCCAATTTTGAAACTAAAATATTTATAATGAGATGGGATTCTTAAATCGGTCAAATTCTGTGTGAATCAAATCGTTAGCTGTTTAAATTAGTTTCACTATAAGCAAATATATTTTCCTATATAGCTTGAAAACTATAGCTTCCCATGAAACTAATATTCCAAAAAAGTATGCATTTTAAGAACACATCTATTTTAAAAACTGTATATTTCGAATCTATTTTGATTTATCTTCAGCAATATATTTACAAGATATGGCGTACATACGGTACATGTGCTGTTAAAATGCATGATTTTTCGGAATAACATTAGTTTTATATTTGCTGAAACTATCAGCCGCGGTAAAAGATATTTTTCTATCTTCTAAAACGCGAAATTTGAAAGAAACGTCAAAACTATATTGTGTTCTTCTTCGTTTACGTTCTTCCTTGATGAGATGCTAAATTCAGTTTTCTTGATATGTAGTACAAACGAATTAAGGCACAGTTTGCATACAGCATAACTAGTTATGATAGGTTAAGTATCGGTTATCTTTTCTACTAGCAGATTAAATTACTTGAAAATTCACATAGGTCGTTCTACGAATAAAACATATACGTATGAAGTTTACCAAAGGATTTTGTTGGATAAAAACTTATTAATTTTCAAGTTCATGTTTGGTGGCTCACTTTGCACAGTGTAACGTAAATTTGTTTGCACTGCATATCAAGAGAGTCATGGTCGCGTCATGTCACCTTTAAACGATAGATAGTGAGAATTGTGACGGCCATATTAGTTTGACCTCATTAGTTACTAGAAGTTTAAGAAGAAAGAGAGGTCACTGGTGGTCAATTTTTATCTAGACAATATGTGTCCTTTTTACCAGTAATTTGAAATTGCTAAATTAAACCTCTTTTAACATGTGGTGTGGGCCATTGAAATGAATATAACTGGAACGCTACCTTCAGATAAACTGCCTATCTTTTTTCTTGAAGCTAAATCTGACCTCTAGACACGCGTGTTTGGAGGTCAAGACACACGTGTTTATGTCATGATTGTCTGATTGAGCGCTCTTCGCATGCGTGAAAAGACTGGGACCGGCCTTCAAGTTTGCCTCCATTTTACCGGTTGGAGGTAGCGTTCCACTTATATTCATTTCAATAGGTGCGGTCACACCACTGATCTAATAGTAGATCACATCAATATGGCCTGACATTGACTTTATTTATGCATAGCAGATCTACAGTAGTTTTTGAGATCAGTGGTAAAATCTGATGCTATAATTTGTTGCCTGGAGGCATATTTATACCTCTGTAGTATCGAACTATTAATGTAATCCCTTTTTTTCTTGTGTAGTACATTCCAATGCCTGTATTGTATGGATTATTTATTTATATGGGTGTTTCAGCTCTGAAAGGTGTTCAGGTGAGATATATTGTTTTGTTGCACAAGAAGCGCTGCCGAAGTATTACAAATTTAAAGGGCTGTTACCGTAATCTCTCTATTAATGACCCCTGGGACGTATTTTTTCAGATCAGTAAATCTAATCAAAAACATGTTTTTGTACGAATAGGGGACCTTATTATTAGCATGACAAAATTACTGGATGCTGATTGGTTGAGAGGAGTACAATTATTTCATTAATTGTACTGCAGGACAATAAACGATTTTCCCAAAACAAACAAAATGGCGGAAAGGTATTTTGAACACAAATGTGAAATGAAATTGCCCTTGAGGAACTAGATGAATATAATCCCTAATTGTACTCGCCATCATATGATTCCCTAAACTAATAGAGAGAGGGACTTAATAAGTTTCTTCATCTAAAAAGAGGAACTTATTAGAGAGATAACGGTAAATCATC